TAGGACCTGATTATATAGTCCCCCTGATTGATGCTAACCTGCTCCCAGTTGAGTCCCCTCACTAAGGCCATGCTCCGTTTCAGACAAGATTGCAACTTTAGTCCCCCCCCTTTGTGTATTTTTTTTTGTCACCCCTAGAAACATATTCCAATGCTATTTTATGCTATTTTTGTTCAGAGTTCCACCAGGTCTCAAATAAAAGGTAACCACAAAGAGCAAATTGGTTGCTACAGTTTGGATTCCACAGAGCTCGGTTTGACGAGCTCACACTCACCCTGGTTTTCATGGATGAAATTAAATGAGACCGGCAGATGATCGACTGAAAGGCTTGCTCGTAGTCAATGGAAGGAGTGTTTACCTCTGCGGCCGTGAAAATGGTTGCTGCAAAAAGGAAACCAACAGATTCAAAAGGGTTGATTCGCCTTGGCCAACGTTGAATTAGTGATGCTGAAATCCACCCGTTCAAGTTGGATCCCTATGAGCATCCCAGCCTGATCCTGAGAGGAAAGCACACCGCTTTTTGTTGTTTCCCCTTTGCTTGTTTTCTTTTCGGGTTTTCTGTGGAGTTCCAACCAAACACAAAAACAATAACAGAACTGCTGAATTGACTGGCCAATCGCAGTTCAAATGTTTTGGTGCTTGACTGACATGACCAATAAATCCACCCACAAGCAGTTTGACGTGTGTTAATATGCCCCTAACCAACTGGGCGTGTTGCTTTAGGCTACCTTTTCTTACTTTGTTTTAAAAGGACCCCCAAAAGGCAAACCATCAGGAAAACCGAAAGCCATGGGATCGACTGGGCGAATGGCATCGCCCTTGTTGAACTTCTTCCGCCACTGCGTCATGAAGATCTGCCTCGCTAAAAGTCCGCAGGCGCAAACCCGTGCCCTGAGTCGGGAACCTCATGTTGGCGTGATGTTAACAGGGAAGCCACCTACTTTCGCCGTTTGAGGTAGACCCATAAAGAATGGCTCTTGAGAACTCTGGCAAAGGGACCACTGTCTAATTACCTAAACATTCGCTCGAATTCGGCTTCTGTTGAGGAACTTCCCATGGGCTGGCACAGAAGGATACCCGGAATATTCATAGTTTAAGCAGAGGGCCACGGCTAAGGATGATTCAGGCAAACATGAGCCACAGCATTTCCAGAGCGGGGGACAATGTTTGCGCGCAACACCATCCTCATGCTTCAGCCTGAATCAGGCTAAAGGGAACCGCAGTATAGTGTCCTGGAAATTACGCGCTGCTCAATGACATGATCATGATGATGATGATGATGATGATGATGATGATGATGATGATAAAACTAATGATGATGAGAATGACCTGAACCGAATCGTGCGTCATGGTGTCGTGCGTACCTTGAGAGAGTTTAGTCGCCTGAACCTGCGAGCGGGAGAGCGGCGACTGGCCTTGGCGTGTTTAGCTCAAAGCCGCCTGTTGAACCAGAGCAACACGCAGGTCTGGACGGAAGCAATAAGGAAAATACAACAAAATAAACAATGAAGAACCGCAGAAGACGCAAGGACATCTTTCCATTATCTCATCTCTTTGTCATCTGCTCGTCAGAGATAAAAGGTTCCGTAGGGAGGTTGGCAGCAACAACTACGCGTTGTGATTGTTCCACCCTGTGTGACCTCGTCATTCCAGCGTGAAGCGTGGGTCACTTTGACCGGGTCAGGTTCCTTGGGACAGCGCCAGGGGGAAATTGTTTGGGGCCGACCTGGATGAAAACCCGAGACGGGTTTGCGGGTTTGAGGGTTGCGGGAGGAATAATCTCTGGAGCGCACATTGCAACCAGCAACGCTGTTGTTGACGGTTGCGTTGTCCTCGCTATGACCGTGAAGCAGGCAGACACGACGCCAACGCACAAAGCATGCCGCACTGTGGGGCAAACACACTTTGAATTCAAGCGATCCGGCTGGCATCTCTCCCCTGACATCCCCTGACCTTACGCTCGGTCACAGCGTTGGAACAATTTTCATATCACCATTTCTTGAAGACTGCTCCGGCGTTTTAAACCACGCAGGGGTTCAAACAAGGACATTTGTGACCATCGGACCATCGGCAATTCTATTTTGTTCCATGAAAGACCTGACGATCAGCATTGCTCACTGCTTTTTCTTTGAGCAAAGGGGGATCTGGCTTGATCCGTGAAATCGGAGAAAGCCGTCCCAAGGTTACGTTTCATCCGGTGTTGTACATTGACCTGCAACAACCCGTTTCCCAGTGGTTGAACTTGCAAAACGCGAAACCCTCGCACTTCTTGGTTGTGGACCACAACAGCATGATATAAGCGAAAAGGGGGGAAAGCCAACCCAGGCAACACTCCTCACAAAAGCCCTGTGCGCTTCCTGGAGTTTCATCCAAGGCTGGGAGGGTGGGTGGGTGGGAAAAACAATCATGCAGCATGCGTCCTACACTATTCGTACACCAAGATGCTCCAGAACGCAGTCCATCAGGGCGCGGCTACGGCCCAAACCTACATCACAAGTATCAAAACGCCAAAACCTCTCCAACCCTGCTTCTTGAACGATCAATTGAGGCGCGTACTTCCAAGAGGAAACCGACGCCGTTACCGGGAGAACACACTGTGTCTGAAGGTGGCCTTGAAAGGACGCTTTTGCGTTCGTGTCAGAGAGCTTGGTTGGCCTCAGGCCCCTTGAAAAAGTCAGATCTTGGCTTGCTGGGGGCCTGGTAATGCTTCAAAAGATTGAACTGCTGGTTCCAGGTTGTACCAATGAGTAATTAAGAACATGGCTATGGAGGGTAGCTCTCGCCAACGTTCCGAGAGCTCTGAGACGCCAACTGCTGCGCCAAGACCGTCTCGTCATCTATCATCCGCTCTGCCTGTGGCACACAACTCAACGCGCCCCTTGGAATCCAGAGGGGGAGGGTCTGCTCTTGGGATGCAAAAGGCACCTCTGGGAGGTTGAATGCAGATTTCCCTCATATTGAGGTGCCTTTCGCATCAACCTCTCCAGCGAGTTGCCTTGGGGTCAATCAGAAAGACAACTCCTAGGACAAGGGCTGGCTTTGGACAACTAAATGGCCATGGGTCCAAATCCCGTAGCCCCAGTGAACATCCCAATCCCAACCAAAATAGACTAAAATGGGTGGTGCACCTACCCCAAAGTGGTACCATTGGTTTTGACCCACAGCCAAATGAAAAACAACAGAATCAACCCCTAGATGTGTGGAAGGACCATTTGCGTGCAAGCGCACACGCAGATCTAGATCCGCGTGGATTTTGGTCACTCCCCAACGGTACGGGCTGCCCATGACCGGACCATTGGTTCCGCATAGGATCCACTCCAATGAGACCAAGGTTGGTGTTTTTACACCAGGGCCCACCAGGTGGACACATGCATGGTAGCGACATAGTGCTTTGACTATTTGCGTTTGCGAACGACACTCAGTCACCACTGTGGTTTTTATTGAAGCAAATATCCCTGTACAAAAAAACAGGGTGGAAAACATAGAAATCAACATTCAGGCGATTTCAGGCGGGCTGGGTGGGGTTGAAGAAGGCTGTGGCCCGTACAGTGCAAATGCATCCGCATGCTGGGCGGCAGTTTGCATCACGCGTCCCAAAAACAAAACTATTGCGCCGAAAACCGTATTTCACTTGGTTTGGGCCTGCCGGCTTCCCGCAAAAAAAACTTCACTTGAGACATCCACAGCTTGGGTGAAAGTACGCAGCACGCCAGGCAACTCATGGTTGAGGAACATAGCCCTTTCTGAGACACGACAATGGACCATCCCTTCAACTATTTTGTCAGTGTCAAGAGATTGCAAAGGCATCACAAGTGGCAAAATCTTCCTGGAACTCAACCCCCCAGAACCATGATGAAAAAAAAAGAAATGCAGTCCAACTCCGGAACAGGCGCCAAATGGTTGCCAACGCCTTCCTGCCCCGAACAACCCCGCAGGGGTGAGGGCCCCATGAGCGCGCGCCGGCGCCTCGCAGGTCGCCCAAGCAGCGAGCAGCAGAAACGTGCATCTCCCCACCTGCGAAGACCACAGAGGAATGCTTGACAGCTTACCTGGCTGCTATGTGGCTCTAGAACAGACAACCTGTTCTCTCAGGATCGAGAAAACAACCAAATTATGCGTCCCTTGAGGAAGGGGAATCAACAACAACTAAATAGCTGAAAACCAAACAACTATAAAATAGTTGCGGACGTTCCTCACGGGTGAGCTTGCTTTGTCCTCTTGTGAGCTCGTCGTAATTTGCCCGGCATTTGAAACCAAAAGGTCATGACACAAATAGACAAAGGACATAACGTGTCTCCATCTCGTGCACATGTCAAGTCGCTCCAAACAAACAATGGGCGGGGTCTGCAATGAGGAAAACAACGGTTTTCCCGGTTTTCAGGGTGAGAACTTGGAGGGTCCATTGTTTGAAGGCAAATTTGTGGGAAACCTGGCAACACAACTTTGAGTCAGGCGTTTCCTTTAGAGCACTTACTCAGACTCCGAGCAAACATGTTGCCCTTCAGGCAAGAGCTTTGTGAAGCAGGGGCATGTAAGGCAGCAGCACAATGCCCATAGTTGAGTTCCGGTGGTTTTGTGGGGGGTGCAGGAGGCCAAGGGCTGATTGAGTTCTCGTTTCTTCAACAAGGAGTAGCAAAGAATTTCGCAGTTTCAGGCCAACTTGGGGGAGCCTTTGGGGTCCAGGCAGAAAGCAGCAGGCATGCTGCCTTTCAGGCAGGAGCTTCGTGAGCTAGGGCCGCAAGGCATCATCGGCAGCAGCGTGCGCATTACTAGTGAAAAGGTTTGGGGAGCGTCCACGGTAGTTTGAGGACCTGGGGAAAACGATCCATAATCTTCCCCGAAGTGTTGTTGTTGAAGCTTTCGGCTGCCCGCCCACACCCTTTTCCCGAAAGCAAACCCCAACCCCTCAGCCCCCCAATATTGACTGAAGTCGAACACATGCCCCTGAATCAAAAACATACTGGGCCAACCAGACGCCTTTTCACCCATTACTATATTAAGCAGGAATAGACCAATGCTAAAGTTACTTGACAAAAGTACGAGGCCCACCCCCCAATCCGACCCCCAGGACCCACATTACTAAGCCACCCCAAAAATTCATATTGATAAAACTCCCCAACTGCCGGACAAATTTCAGGATTGAAACAAGGAATCAACATAAGGCATCAAACATATTCGAGGAACAAATCCTCAAAGATCAGGTCAGAAACATGAGAGCTTCTGGCTTATGCGAGAAAGCCGAAGAACTGTAAACAGTCCGACTCAAGTGAGGGAGACATGACCCCCCCGTTGGGAGTACTGCTCGAAATTTGCCAACCTACCTCCTCTTTCTACTGGTTAGCCTCTTGCGGCGCTTTTGCTGGGGCTGTTGGCCAAGTTGCAACCTATGATCCGTAGAGAAAGGGCCAGGTCTCGGTTCCTTGACGGTGTCCTTTTTCCAGGGTACCCGTTGGCTTCAAAAGCAAGCTCTGGGGTGAAAGAAAGACACACCATTTTGGGGAGGTCCGTGATTTCGGGACACACCCGTTTGAGGGCATTCACCCTGTAGACACCTCCGCCAACTCATGCGTCCATCAAGCCTGGAGCGTCATGCCCCGCGTCCGGAAGCTGCGGGGTCGGTTGGCGGCCCGAGCTCCAAAACCTGCCCCCAGTTGGGCACTAAATGTCTCAGTCTGCTTCAGTAAGCATATTCTACTCCCAAACCAATTTCGGCGTGGGATGTGAGAACCTAGCGGATTTATATACCGAAACATGTACAAGTTGGTATCGCTGCATCCAGTCCTTGCTGAAGCTGGCTGTGTGCAGGACTCTTGGATGCTGCCATTGAATCGGTGCATTTCTCTGCTGTGGACCTATCCTTGATCTGGCGAGCATGCTTGATCAGCTCAGAAACTTCAGGCCGGCCTCCCACCTCAGCAAAGCCTCTTGGAATCTTCTTGAAAGGGGCTCTGATTGAACAGGCTCCGCACAAACACACACGGACAAAGACACAGATACAGATACAGACAGAGACAGAGACAGAGAGAGAGAGAGAGAGAGATAGAGCACAAACCCACCCACGCTCGCCCACACGCCTGCACGTATGCACCACGCACGCGCCCACCCCACGCACCCACACACACACACACCAAACACACACCAAACACACACCAAACACACACCAAACACACACCAAACACACACCAAACACACACACCAAACACACACCAAACACACACCAAACACACACCAAACACACACCAAACACACACCAAACACACACCAAACACACACCAAACACACACACACACCACACAACACACCAAACACACACCAAACACACACCAAACACACACCAAACACACACCAAACACACACCAAACACACACCAAACACACACCAAACACACACCAAACACACGCCAAACACACACCAAACACACACACACACACATGCAAACTCAAACGGGCCACAAACCCACAAACAAACAAATGAGCAAAGACACACACACACACACACACAAACAGGAGACAAAGAAACAAAAACAATAACAACAAACAAACAAGAAAACAAACAAACAAACAACGCAAGTAAACCAACAAACCAACAAGCCACCCACACGAGGAACGTTTCACGTCTACACAAGAACCATCCAAACAAATAAAGACACACCCACACACACACACACACACGTGGGCACACCCGCCAAGAGTTCATGAACGCTGCTTCAAAGTTTGACTCCGCTCCCATGCTTTGTTTCCGGCGAAAGCTCCCCAACAACGGTCCCTGGTTTTCCATGTTCGGTGGATGCGTAGTTCACATGGTTTTGTGGTTGTGTGCGGTTGGTTTACTTACAATCTTGAGGGCCTCTACGGGGAGAAGCAGTGCAGAAATCTGGGTAGAGAAATGGAAGCGGGTTGGTGGGTCCTGGGACAAGGAAACAGGGTGGAATCTTCAGAAGGTGACAAATGGCCAACAAGGTTCCTGTCAGAGACCTCTGCACAGGTGAGCAAGCATCCCCAGCCCTAAATTATGGGCTGACTGGTTCTTCATGGTCGGTTTCATCATGTACTCGAGAGAAACAAATTGGAATTGCACCAAATGGGGCCCCTATCGCTCCCTTTCACGAATTCTAGGGGTGCTGGCCGCGTCACTCACCTGCGGTCGCACGAGCGGGCCCCCTTTCCCCATGCCGTGCTCTGGCCAGCCGTCGCCAGTAAGGCGAGAGACCGGCTCTCGGACTGTTCAAGCCTCGGTCCAAATCGCCCCTCGAACGGAAACCTGCGAATGGAGATGGGTATGGCTGAAACCCCATTGTTTGTTGGTATTTACAGGTGAATCATCATTCCAGGGCTTCTTTAGGTGGTGCAGGATTTCGTCCATCCACAGTATGGCTGAAACCCCCAATATGAATTCGCACCAATCTACCTATTACTGCAGGAGTTGGTCGATCCACAGTATCTGTATTTGTATTGCACTACCCTCACGCTCACCAGCATGGAACCTGACTGCGGCTGCAGAAAGACCATGGTCCTGCAAAAGGGGTCATCTCAAAGGTTTTAGACAGTGGAGGGCGGGTAACGGGTAACTGCTATGGTCGTGGGTAAGCTCGGTCTCTCTCAAACCTCACCTGGGAGGATTCACCATACGGTCGCCTACTCCCCCGAAACATTTCCAGCTTGACATGAACACACAGCACACATTGTGAGTTCAGGACTGGATACGCCAGGGACAAGCACGGGAGACGCCTCTCAATGGCCTATCTGTTTGTGGCAAACCACCCAACCATCAAACAGTACATACCCCTTGGTTACAGCCTTTCTATAGTAGAGCCCAAGGATCAAGCCTCCGGTGCAACTGACGACGCTGTATTTGACCTTATTATAAGCCCCCCCCCCCCCCTGATGAGCCAAGGCACTGTGGGACGCTGGGGCCCCGAAAGAAGCTACCAGTACAAGTAAAGCTGAGAGAACTCCCGCAATGGACGAGCAAAACAGCAGCGCCAACATCAGAAAAGTGTTTTTTCCACATAGGCATGACCATCAACTGGCAACAGAAGCAAGATCTATGCCTGATTTGGTCTGTGACCTTTTTGCAGAAGGACGTTGCTCGATGGGAAAGCACGTGTTGTCGTGTGTTAAGGCTTACTGTTGGTGATCTGTCGAATTTGCATCTCAAAATGAGGCAGTTGGTTTCTTTCTTTCACGTGGTCTTGTTGATCTATGTTTTCCTTATTCAGCAGCAAACTGTCCTCAATCTCTGCAAAAACTTGCTCCGATAGTTTAGCAGTAACTCGCTAATTCTGAGACACGTGAATCAAGGGCCTCCAGATCCATGATGCTGTTGGAATCAACATCTGTCTCGTTGTACTGTGTAAAACAATGGAACTACACCCACCAGCACCTAGCAGTGCGGGATGTCTCCCGAGTCAACTCTGTTTCTCGTTCCCTTTTCCATGCCAGGCCTCGCCTTCCAATGGTGGTGTGACTGGCATAATATGTTTGGCAGAATGCGAATCTCGCATCACCACGGCTTTCGAGTTGGCCTCCGAATCCACGAGTCTCAAGAAGTCATGTGTGGCGGAGTCAATGGCACAGAAACACACAATTTATATCCTGCAGCTTCTTCATCTGTTGCTTCATGATCCTGCTGGCGGTGTGAATTCGAGTGAAATCGCCGCGGGATGACCTCCCTTTGTTCCCACTGAGGGCACAGTGTTCCTGTCGTTCCGGAGCCACGGAAGGCTCCTCTGACATGCGTTGGCGTTGGCATTGCGCGCCGCCTCCACGCTCCCCATTTCGAGAGCAACGCCACGCTGATCCAGCGTTTCAACATAGGCTCCGTCAGCATCCGGACAAGGCTCATGAAGGCGAGCAACTGATCTCTTTGCCGATGCAGTGCATGCTGTGCTGCAATAGCGCATGGCTCTACGGTGCCTCGCCTCTGAAGCCTCTGCTGGCCTTGGGCCACTGCTCTGCCAAGCTGGCTAGCTTTGCGGGAACAACCAATGAGACTTCCACGCCCCGCGCGGTGCCCATTCGAGAGAAGGCAGTGACCTGCAGCTCCCCCACTGAGCTCTCCTTCAAGGCCATGCGTGATTCTGTCCCCAATGCAGAACATCTGCTTCGTCTTCTCGGCTCCTTCTAGTTTTCAGTACAGGTCCTTGAAATCGACATGAAGGTTGAACGAGTAGAAGTGGAGAAAATATGCTTGCGTCTTGACATGCGCAAATGACTGTACAATGCCAACCTTCTTCATCAGCAAACAATAATTCAATATCACACGGCATCCTTCCAATCCTTGGCATGTGAGCAGCAAAGCGTCATTTACAGCCCCCCCCCCTCCACTAAAAAAAACATAGCCATTAAACAAAAAAAAAAAAAAACATGCCGAGAACAGCGAAGGCGTCCTTTTCCTGGCTACTTCTTGGCCAGCCTCTCACTGTATCCCAGCAAGAAGTAGTAGAAGATCAGCACGGCCAGCCGAGGGGAGCGATAATCTTCAATAGCTGGGTTCAGTTCGCTCATGTCCTGAGTTGCTCACCAGAAACCAACTGGGTTGTTGAAATAGGAGGAGCCCCAAACATGCTGGTGCACTCTTGTTGGTTTCAAAGGGGTGCGTCCCCCCAAATCTAGGTTGCTCCAAGGTTCCGTGAGCACACGTTGCCCTTCTGTAGGTTTAATCGCGGTTACCACTGGTTTTCAAAAGCTCTAAGGGCCTTTGGGGTGGAGCCAAAGACCAGCCATGTGTCAAAGAGTTTGACTTGCGGATGTCGCCCTGCCGCCCTGGAGATGTGCAGTGCATCCTGTGCGGAGAGGCCATAGTTGGCGGGACAGCTCACGCCAGGGCAATCCGCAGACCGAATGGCGTCGATATCAAACGACACGAAAATGTCATTGGTCCCTTGCTCATCCAACCAATTCTGGAAATGGCGCAAAGGGTTGTCTGAGATCTTGGAGTACCACAACAAGGAGCCCTTCTTCTCCTTGACGAAATCGGCATGGTCCGCACTGCACTGGTTGCCTTGCACTGCAAATTCACAGAAGTGCGTCCCCTCCAGGCCCCCTTCCAGCAACTCTCGAAAAGGTGTGCCGCTGTGCACTTTGCCCTCCTCTCGAGGCCGGACATCCAAATGGGCATCAATGTTGATGACAGATACCTTCTCGATCGGAGTGTGCCTCAGCAACGCTCTACCATTCGGTGCGGATTGGTCGTTGCCGCCACCAACCACAAAAGGAAGCAAGCTCTTCCCCAGCGCATCACTCACCACATCCTCCAACTGTTGATGCCCTTCTTCCAAAGATGATGCGGAGATGTTGCCGCAGTCGTAAACGTGCAGTGAGCTGAGGTCAATGTCGAATTCGGGGTTCTTGAGCGTGCCCATACCCTTCAAGAACTTGCGGAAATACTCAGGTCCGAGCTTTGCACCGGCCCTGCCCCCATTTCGCACACAGCCTTCATCAAAGGGGAACCCAATGAGGGCTATGCCGCCTGCCTCCACTGCTGTTTCTGGGTATGGCTTCACCAGCGATCCCAATCGAGGATCTCCATTCTTCGCTGCCATGTTCACAATGGGCTGAACAAGGCAACGGGTCTCTCCGGCCAAACATCTCCGCCCGAGCAAACTTCGATGCCACGGCAATTCCTCGCCCTAATCGAGAAGCAAGAAGCAGGCCCCACAAGGGCAAACAGCTGCTTCGGAATCGATAAACCAAAAAGAAAGAAAACCACTTGCACCAAACATGGTGTTCTGACAAGTTTTAACGCGGGAAAAAGGTGGAAACAGAACCAACTGGATTGAACCCCCAGGTTGGAAACTACCAGCCCCCTGCCCCAACTCAAGGTGAGGGAATCAAAGAAGCACCTTGTCCCACCCCTCGCAGGTTTGGCTTGGCAGATTTTGAACCCTGTGCCTTTCTCAAAACGACTGATTCAGGCCCCTTCAACCTGTCCAACTATATGCTGGGCAAATTGCTACAGTTCCCAGATTGGTGATAAGAACACCTGGTAAGGAATTGCCTTTGACCGCTTCTGGGCTACAGCAAAGCTTCTTGAGTAACAAAAGCGCCATTCAGTCTGGGTTGAAGCATGTTCGAACCAATCAGGGAAGCGCACAAGGACCTTTGGAGATGACATCAGTGACATCAGTGACCCTTCTGACCCTTTGATGGTCGTTGGAAAGACGTTATCGTTTAGGCAATTGGGACCATTAGGTTTCTCTTTCCAGGGGGGCCTTGCCTGCTTGAAGCACATTTTTCAGACCTCAAATCAACAACCCTTGGGGGTGTCCTCAAAGACAAGGTGAACAATGAGCACCACTGAACCCCAAAGAAGATGGCTCTTGGAGGAAAGGGGGCTTCATGTGGGTATGTGCGAAAGTCAGGACCACGCACAACATCATTGTCCTGGCCAAGCCCACTTTTGTTTAGGCGGTAAATCTCAATTTCCATTTGCTTAAGCCCCCTGGAAACATAACAATATTTCAAGTAGCTATAGATTCCCTTAAAACCAACAAGGGAAACTAGTACATATTCTCCAGCAAATGGAAGTCAAGTTTGCGTCTGCAGCACCAAGGAGCAGCTCTGACGCTGGCCCAGAGCGGCACGCCTGGAAATTCGTGGTTCGGGGCACGTTTTGAGGTTGTTTGAAAGGCCAAAGGAAAACCAAACATGAAACCCGACGGCCTGTTCTGAGAAACCCAGGCGGCCCAGGCGGAAACGGGGAGTCAAGGAACTTCACCGGACGTGTTCTCCCTGTCTGGGGAACCTTGCTGAACATAGAAACATGGGAAGCACAACTGGATTTCTGGGGACAAAAGGCCTTTGTGGGTGGACTTTCAGGGCCAAACCCCCTACAGAAAGGTCGAACAAAAGGGAAAACACCAGGAGGTCTGTGTTCATGGCCTGTCCTATATACGTCTCCTTAAAACATGAGGAAACTCACCTGTAACAAGGGCCAAAGAGGTGATGCTCAAAACCACCAAACGGGATGATATTTGGCCGAAATACTATGATTCCCCCCCGGTAAACCTTCATCATGGGTTTGCTCCTTGCATGGTGAGCTCGCCATATTTTGCACAGAAATAGAGCATTTCCCGATTGCCTGGATATCCTGGAAATTGGTCTTAAATCCAACTTGAACAGGGGATGTGTGGGCTTGTGTTTGTTTGAGGGTTCCCTCTTCACCTTGCTTTCAATCAGGGCTCTTCGATTAAAGGGAAACCAGAAGGGCAACCACATTGCCGCGCCCTGTTTAAAGGGTCCCAAACCCGCAACTTATAGGGATATGTCCTGCGTTGGTTTCAAACAGGAAAAAACTCATGATCTGACCAGAGACATATGAACAAACATATGAGCTAAATATGAGCTTGCCATAATTTGTCCAGAAATATCAAGGACTGAAAAATACCATAAGACAGTATACACCCGTTATACAAATGGTATCTGCAAATCTTACTATAACTCCAAAGCCTGAATCAAGGGATCCCCAAGCAGTTTCCTTTATCGTGAGCTCGTGAGCTCGCTGTAAAAATAGGCAGATGGTGTTCACCTCATCCGCAGAACCCATGACAGAGCTGTCCTCAGATCCCCTGCTAAAAGTTTACTTTTAGTGGGCTAAAAGGAAAACCCCACTAAACACCAAGCTAAAAAGCTGGCAGCCTCCAAGATGACAGAGATGCCCTTGACAACTGGGGCCCCGGGATTCGCCTCGCAGGCGCTCAGCGCGAAAACTGCGCAGGGGGCGTCCAGGTCAACGGCAGCCTCCCCCAGGAGGCGCAGCAGTTCTTGCGGGCGGCCTGGACGGCTCGTCGCTGGCTGCAAAAACCAGCCCCTGGGCAGATGGCTGTATTTGAAGTCCCAAGCTGGAAATAAGAAAGAGAGTGAGAGAGAGAGAAAGAGGGAGCCTCCAACAAAAGGAAAACCACATCCCTTTGAAACCCCAAGAAACACGTCCTGTCTTCGAGTCACGTCCTCCATGGCCCACTTCGTTCGCGCCTCCCTGAAGGCAGGCCGCGAAGGTGGCGGTGAAGGTCACCAAGGTGGGCTCCAGGCGCAGTCGGCCCATGCCTGCCGCTCACATCGGATCACTCTGATGGGAGCGGGGGCGAGGGGGCGGGGGCAAGGCCCGGTGTGGGACGGATGCGGATGGACCTCGGAAAACCACTTCAAGGGTTGGTGGAAAGGGGCCCAGAAATGCCGACATCTTCGGGTTGGGAGCCAGGGACAAGCCGTTTGGTGAGCTATAGTCTGACCTATAACTGGTAAGCTATTTGGTAAGTAAGGGAATTGTCGTATAGGTGTCTAAGATCTTGCCCCCGCTTAGCCTGGGAATGATTGGCGTATCAATGCCGGGTTGCCCTTTGAAAAAGTCATTCCTCACTTCCCGATTGAGTCCAGAAACTGGGGAAGCGAGTCTCGGTTGGGGAAATCCGCCTTTGAAAACCTGAAACCAACTCGTTCCAAAGGGGTTGGCAGCACTGACAGAGCTTGAATAAGACCAGAGTGGGGTTCTGGGGCACTAAATTTACCATACTTATGTCATGATGGGACAATCACGTTATCCCACCAAAACCACCGATAATCGCGTTATCCCACCAACACTGCCAGAGCCCTAACCAAGAGGGACCCCAAACGCTTTCGAATGAACTGGACCCAGCTTGCACCAAAGGACTGTCATGTACAGTATGCAGAAACCTAGAACCCAGCTTTAGGGTCAGCCAACCGGAGCAGAAACATAGAAACATTCACTTTAAAATACCCTTGAATTGAGTAACGAGCTCTGATTTGGCCATTGAAGGAACGGGCCTTCGACCATGGACAGGGCCAGCTGCCATTGTCCCCCATAGGCAAAGCCTGAGCGAGGCGTTCATGACACGGAGGGTGGGAGAATCATGTGCATGTCGTTGTTTACCTTGGCGCCTATGTTTCTCTGGGGCCGCTTCAAGACGAGGCCGGAACACTTATGGTTTTGACCGTGGCACGCCCTGTCCGTGACTCGACCGAGGCCAAGGGGCCGGAAATCGCCGCATTGCAGGTGACGGTGTCGGGCTGTAGTGAAGCGTCGTGAAGCTCACCCAGCAGCATCAGCACGGACCTGGCTGACCATATTTTCACCGAACCGCCTGCGCCAAAGGATACCCAACCTGCTTGAAACCGATGGGCCACCCAGAACCAGTGCGCTGGTAGCTCTCACAGCGACTCATGCAAGCCAAGGATAAGATTGCTTGGTTCCTCAGGAACTTTTCAAATTCGGCGGGCCCGGTGGTTTGTGCGGGTCTTGGGGCGGGGGCCCCATGTGCTCCAACAGGTTACCAGACAGTTGAGGGTTGTTCTACATGTCTGTTCCCGGCCAGTGTCCTGGCATCAGCGAACTTGTGGAAAGCGCTGGCTTCAAGGGCTTAAAGGGGGGTTCACTAGAGGCAGGCGCTGTGGCTACATTTGTTTGGCCAAGCCTCCAATGAGCCTCGCAGGCGCTGATCGCCTCAGGCCCAAAGGGATTGATGGCTTCGATTGGAAAGGGCTGTATGGGAGTGTGTTTTCATAAGGGTTCCAATTTGGGGCTGTTTTAAAGGGAAACCAAAAGGACACCAGCAATCTGTTGGGCCCCCCCATTTTGACACACCCATACGTGACTCTGTGGCAATGTACGGCAGGCACCAGTTGATAGGTGATGTGTCAAGCGTTCCACAAGGGTTCATTCACTCAAACCGGTGCAGGATTTCGTGGACCCACCGTTCCATTTAACTGTGTAGGCAACCAAGCGAACTACCCGCTGAAAATCAAAAGCAACATAGCTGTTCACCTGCTATAGCGGCAACTAGGATCCAGAACCAAAACGGGTCTTTTTCATGTGGCTCTGGACGAGTTCGGACACAGTATACGTCGGGCATAGCAATATACCCGTCGAGGTCTATAAGGGAATGAGCCACATCTTGGGAAGGTATCCTTGGTACAGTTGCTTCTCGGAATATTGCAAATAAACCAACCACAAACAATGGTCATGTTCAGGGTGTTCAACTTGCTCGCTTGCAATGCAGCAAACTATGTGCGTTTGAATCCTTTAGGTCTTTGCGGTGTTCTTCGTGCTTTGCGGTATGTGGCTGCTTGACAGCCTTGGGTCGCTCCAAATCACGGAGACATCACCCCAGGAAAAAAACTGTGTTCAAGTTTGTGAAAGTTCAACATCAGTTCAACATAGTTCAACCCTGAACCCAGGATGCAAGTAACAAGAAGGGGGTTCTGCGCTTGGCCCCTTAAAGCAACTCCAAACGACAGCCATGGTCCCCCAAAGCCCTTACTGGAGGACCCAGCTTGGTCCCCCAAAGCCCTACTGAGTTACTGGAGGAACAACTTAAGGCAATCGGGGACAACAGGATTCCCCAACATATTTACATATATATATATATATATACCCAAACAAAGAGAAACTCAAAATGGCAGTGATAGGTGATATTCCATGGAAGTTGCCTGAGGTAACACCCAAAACTACCGTATCCACGGTCATGATAAATTGCTTCTAAAACCAACCTCGAATAATGCACAAGATGTCACTTTGAGAAACTGGACGGTTGCCCCAATATCCTACTGTGTCCACTAAAGCGACATCCTCAAACTCAAAGTTTAAATGGAAACCAGCCCCAAAAGTAATTCTGAGAAGCCTGTGAAGGTTGAACCTCAGTCTGACATGGTCAAAGGACCCCAAATGGCCATCCATTTGCTCTAGCTGCTCGAGTCGTTCGACGTGGATCGCCAAGCTGTTCCTTCAACTCCAAGCGAATCCGCTTCTCAGTTCGCAGGTCGTGTCCGCGGAGGCTACAAAGTGGAGTGGACCACTGGTTTCGGCGCTTGCCAGGTGCCCGCTGAGCGATGGCCGGCAAGAGCATAGCTTTGGACCGCTCCATGGTTGACCAGGAAAGAAAGGCTAACCTTTGTGGAGCCTTAGCCACTAATCGGAAGGTGAAATGATGGCGTTGGACAACTGAAAACTGATACATTTGGCTTCGCATCAGCCATTGGGGAGAAGTGTTTAAACAATCAGACCTCCGCCCTAGGGCACCTAAAAGGCTGTTTAAACATCCAGCCTCCAGTCCCTGTAAAATGAAAACCAAACCAGGGGGGTGCCCTTAAAATCGACCCCCGCGTTTACTCCAGAACGGGCATCGAGGTCAGGGCGGCATTGCAGGTGATCAGCTCTAAGGGCACGCGGCTTGTGCGCAGGTCCGCCCAGAGCTGGCGAGTTGCCGGCCGGAAATGGGCAAACCGGGTTGAAAGGAAGCAGCCTTGACAGGAAGCAATCAAAAGGTGATGTCTAAAAAAACAAGCAGACAAACAAGAGGTTCTGTCAAACTAGGTTTCTGGGATTGATTTGTGAGACATTTGAAAAATCCATTCAAAGTGACAGTGGTCATACTAATCAAGATGACCTACATGGACGTTCAACCAACTTAGTTAGCAGGTTGCAACCATTGATGACTGGTTCAACGGCCAGTTTCTATCGACCATGGTTATAGCCCACTTCCTAAGTGGCTCGAACACCCAACCCAACATGGAACCCAGCAAGTTGGAAATGCCCTTCCCGGGCCCAACGTCAAGGGATGTGGGCTGCGAATCTTCAACTTGGCGGGTTCCCATATATGGGACGGCTCCTGTTGGGATAGGGGAACCCCAAACAAACAGCGGAACGACTGGGTTTGTTTCCCGTCAAAGGGGTCCCTACGTTAGCAATCCATCACGAATGTTAGGCAGGGTTGTGGAAGATGCAAGCACTTCTGTGATAATGTCCACCCAGGAATAATACAACCTTGGTTGATTTCCGGGCGGGTGTCCCATCCAGGAGGGGATCCTTCATTCCGCGGGTGCTTCCTACAAGGATACCTTCCAAAACCGCACAACACGCTAACTGGGGCAACTTCACAACTCCGCGGCATATTTACATGAACCCCAAATGTGGCTCCCCAAAAAGAGATTTCTCCAAAAGCCCTGCATAATTGTGTTCTATGTTCACCTGCAGGGGAGTATGTCAAACCATAAAGAGGCTGCGATTTCAGCTGCTCAAATATGTCGCCAAACCCAACAAAAGCCTTTTGACTGGCAGACCCCATCCACAAAATGTTTCCGGTCTTAGTTTCTTGCTAGTTTTGAAGGGACATGTCCTTTTCAATGATTTATCACGCTGGGCCAGGCTGACCCGAACCCCAAAACAAAATAATCACACAAAAAAAAGAACAACTCAACGATCCGGTTCCCGTGGGTCAAGGCTCACAGAAGCGCGTGCATGCGGCTGAGTGAAACTGCCGAAAAGCTGTCCGAAGCCGCTGCACATAAAGTGAATGGCTGCCAGCAGCTTTTCCAATTTGAATTGGGTCCATTATTTTGAGCCTTCAAAACAGGCTAGCCACTCAATTAATGTCCCTCTCCCCCCCGCGACATGTGTATGTATATAAATATGATATACACATTTGTATGTATATATTGGATCCATCCAGTTCCACCTTTGGCCAACGAATTGGTTGCGCATGGGTTGCCCGACGGAGCAAAGGAACCCGACCGGGCCTCCAGCGCAGCTTCCCAAATCCGACTCTTCTCGCAGGCGCTGATGGCGGCACCTGGGAGCGAAGTTCCCAGCCGAACCGCTGAGACCGAAGCAATGATGAGCATCCTGCCACTCTCAAGGGCTTTATTTGGGCGTGATACTACGGATGGACAAAGTCCATTTCGCACCACCTAAGAAGCCGTGGAATGATGATTCTCCTGTAAATGCCAGCAATGAAAGGCTTTCCATGGTTTCCAAGTTGTGCAGGATTTTGTGCACCAACAGTATTTAGTTGGATTGATGTCCACCAACAACCTCTGAAGGGTTCCTCATCAAAATACATAGCTGAACTTGAACTTAAGGTTTGTGTCCGTTTCTCATTTTGCCTCCCAGCTTCAAGTGTTTTATGCTTTGATTTGCTTTTTCGATCATGCTAAAACCCCACCCTCGCTGTCTGAGTGGCTTGGTCATAACAAGTCCAGGCATCGTGGCTTGCCTGGGATCATCTGAGCCAAACAATGACCAGGATCCGCGGATTCGACCCCATCCGTCGCATTCGATTCGATTTTAGTCGCGCGGCTAAAGGTCACCACGTTGGGGCGGAAGCCCAGTGCTTTCAGCTCCTGCGCGAGCGAAGCAACCCCTTCCAGCGACCCTGCTAGAAAAAGCGAAGTGTTGACAGCATAGGTGTCTTTTTCGGAACAATCGATGGGCCTGGTAGTTGATTGAACCACCAGGTAAACCAGGAATCGCCCTCTATTTTTCAACCAAATCAACCAAAAAGGACACCTATGGTGGACAGTTTCTAGCAACCCCCCCGACTCAAAGCGAAAAGGGTGCCACTGAACTGGGGAAAATGTGGATTGGCCCCCCCCAACAACTGTTGCTGCCATGTTTGGCACACTCCCCCATATCTGACATGCCAAACACTGAAAAGAGATGTTCAACTTGTTCATCGCCTTTACTTCAGTGTTCCCAAAAAGTGGACAAGTTGTTGCATTGGCCACATGGTGGGTCACTTACCTATGTAGGGGTAAATTTGACAACATTGGTCTGGCTGACTACAATCCGCCACAAAAAAAACATCGCCTGCTCACACGAGATTCTGCATATGGCGTGTTCCGTGAGATTGTGTGCCAAACCCTCAGACTGCCACGGTCAAATAAAGATATGTGCTCAAGATGCTCAAGCCAACAATCACCTACCCTTCCATCCAAACTGCCGAATACCTAGCTCAATCAGGAGGTCAACAAGCCCAGGAGTGTCCCCAACAGCAACCCCATCCCGCCAACAAGGCCTCTCAATCCAAAAAAAACATGATCTACCCAACTAAAGTGGACAAACCCATGGACATTTTCACTGGGCCTATCTGGGGCTATCCGTTTGGGGGGCTTGGAACAACGAAGCTCCAGGTGTCTTCCAGCTGCTTCACCCGCCTGCAGCTGCTGGAGGGCCACCTCCCAGCGCCTGGAAACCAGCCGAGGGATATGGCCATGGGTCAAAATCCCGGTTCTCCCCCAGTGAACATCCCAATCCCCGCTAAAATCGGTTCTAAAATGGGTGGTGCACCCACCCCGAAATGGTACCATTGGTTTTGACCCACAGCCATATGGCCAGAACTGGTATAAATTCTCAGGATGTGTCGAACTTGTACCCGACTTTATTGACAAACAAAACACCACAAACTGACTTTGATATTGCAAATGAAATGGAATTCGCACTGCGCACTTACAGAGTACCCTCCTTTGCCCACTTGCCCTGCCAATGTGCCCCCATTCACAAGGCATGACAAGTGCCGGCATAGGTGACCCCTGAAACCTGCAACAAAGCTTGCTCATTTACAGGCAGGTTAGCTTGTTCCCTACTTGCTTGAGATTTAGGGAATCAGGTGCGTGGCAAACTTGGCCTTTCCAGTCCATTCCCATTTTGAAAGCAAGCCAACAGCAAACTAACCGTACGTGCTTTAGGTCCTAAGTTGTTTCTTTGTTTGCAAAGGACTTGTTGAAAGCACCGGGACTGCCGTCTGTCTGCGTATCTCTTTCTTCTTTGCCACTAGATCCCAGTGACCACAATAGTCGCTAAAAAAGCGTTCCTGGGGTATCTGCTGCACAAATCAATTCAGTCAGCGGGTTGGTTGCTTTGCTCTGGCAGCGACAGTTTAAGCGCAAAGCTAAACATGCTACGGCCTGAAAAATACCTCGTCCATGTGACAAACTAACGCACCCCTGCGTTTGTGCATTGGCCTCTGCAAGAGTCAGCCTGGACGAACTCTGAGGGACTTGCCACGGCAAAACGTCCCAAAGAATGGGCAGGTCCCAACAAGGTATTCCAGCCAGGGTTTCCCTAAAGCAACTGGTGTGATTGTCGGCAGCTCTTGCACCTGGGAAATGAATCAAGGTGTTTCTGAGCAAATACCTTCGCACGCCCAGGTAACTTAGGGAAGAAACATACGGTAACATACGTCCCTCTTTCAAGCATCGAGTCATTGCAAATGAAGGTTACCACACAGTGCCAAAACTGGGATGTCCCCAGATCCCCTGCTAAAAGTTTAAGTTTGAGTGGTTTAAATGGAAGCCCAACCACTAAGCCAACTAGAAGCCTACCAAAACGAGTACAACCCAAAAAAAGACACCTACGTACAACAACAACTAACAACCTACAAAAACAACCAAAAACCTCAACAAACAGCTAAACACCTACAACAACGAAAACAAACCCTAAACAACCGACAAAAACCCTAAACATCCCAAGGAGCCGGGACGATTCGCTGGGAACCTTGCAGAAAAAAAATGTTGCTGCGCTGGCCATCCTCCAATTCTCCAACCCGGGCAAGCCTCGCGCGCTCGCAGGCGGAGATCACTGCGTTGTACATGGCCAGCCCAGCGTCGCCCCTCGAGGCGGCTGGACGTTTCTTTGCTCGAAGTTGGCGGCACGTGAGGCAGCCGCATGCAGCTTCTCAGCTTCTCCCTCAAGCGAAAACAGCCTTTTGTTATATTTGGTGAACCTCGAACAGCGCACGTAGTATATTCAAAAGAAGGTGCTGCGCAGTCTACAGGGGTTCCCTAGTTGCCTGCTTGCAACAGGGCCGATGAGAGTTCGCCGGCTGAATGGCTACAACCCAATTGCCCTCCTTTCAACATGCTACAAGCGCTTTCGGCTGGTGACAAGCGATGCCAAGCCCCTATCAATAAATATGCCCCCCCCCCCCCGGGCGGAACAATGTTTATTGAAATGGTATCAGGGTGTCCCAGGTCCGCGACGGCCTCGTCCAAATGGGGTCCCTTTGCCCGAGCAGAAACACCGTCAAAATCGAAATCTGCCAAGCAAGGAATGCAAATGGAATCGTTCAAGGCACTTTTTGGGATCGTCTATCATTGCAAACTAAAAGGGCGAACGTGATGTACAATTGAAACATTGAACAATGCATATAACTTGATTTGCGAAGCCGTCGGAGAGCCTCTGAATACGACGGAAGCTGGGTCGCCACGACATCTGAAAGCTTAATATTTTTGGACATGTGGGTCTGAAGAAGATACGTATTCATAACTTGCAAATATATGGGGTGGAGATTGCCCTTCCGCCTGCGTCTTGCGCAAGGGCAGGCGGGCAACCCTTTGGCTTACAGACCATAAGGTGAAGGTAGGGGCTGGCTTGGATTCTGGAGATCTTCAGGCCGAAGCACCTAGAAAATCTTGGGGACCCACACTAGCTTGCTTTGGCTTCCCCTTACCAACCCGCAAAAGTCCTCCCCCCCAAAAGAACACTACTCATGTGCCATGGCCGCAGCGCCCCTTTTCTTGAGATTTGTTGGGATGGCTGCCCGCAAAAACGGCGAGCCTCACCGAAGAAACAACACGCATCCTTCGCGCACGCACACGCGCACACGCGCCGGTGTCAGCCCAGGCACACCTCCAGCACTCCCCTCTCTTTGGCCTCCTTCTGTAGCGCCAGTGCCAGCTCCCAGCGCCGGCCCTCACGAGTTCTGCGAACTCGTCCCCTTGCTGTGCTCAAATCCCTGGACAGAAGTTTCTGACAAAACGGGGGGAACACCCAAAATGTTGGTCTTTCTTTCATGATTTCCCCTCAAACCAAGCTTAAAAGGGACCCTCAAAACACAAACCCTGCCGGGTAAGTATCAGGGGCAGGGTTTTTACAATACTGCAAGTCATCAACCACATCCAACCACGAAGCCCACAGGGTTCCCGTGTGTACTCCTACTTGCAATGTTTAGGAAATCATCCGCCATGCTGGCACAAACGGTGTGCAGCGCACGCCACTCAGGTAAGCAGCATGATTGGAAGGACATTGACACCCTGGACTGTCAACGTCATATTCTATGGGGTTCTTTCATGTTTCGTCAACTGGAAATGTAAACTGAACCGCTCATTCTATCCTATGGGGGGTTTCACTAGGGTGTTCAGTGCAGTGATGCCGTAGGCTAACCATACTTGAATAAAGCCTGCCCCTGTTGCCCAATTTTCACAAAGTAATTTTGGTGAAACAACTCCCTTATTACCTACCCACCTACCTTCGTCGACCTCTCTACCTGACGTGGCCACCAACATCCCCCACCTTAGCACGACATCGGGGGAAAGAGGGTGTGCTTCCTCCAGTACAGGACCTTCCATGCCAAAAGTGGCCTTCCACGCGCCATGTGCCATGTGCCACGAGCCTTGGCGCAAGCGGAGATGCTCACCACGAAGGTACCGGTGGTCGGCCGAAGCTCTTTGGCGCCTAGGCCTACGAAAAGGGCCGGGCGCTTGAGGCACTTCCGGCGTTCGACTTCACCAAGCTGCTTTCAGGTCCGACCAACGACCCTGTAGAACGGTTTCTAACCCTTGCTCCAAAGACCCGGGTCGAATTTCCGACGGCAAAACGAAAACCAAAGAAGCCACACCAATGCCCTACCCAAACATCCAGACGTGTTTGGAAGGTTCTCGAAGCTCGCAGCCACGTTGCCCTGTTTGAGGTTTCGTTTGCGTCTGGATTTGCAATTCTTCAGGTTCTCTTTCCAGCAAACCACCAAACACCAGTGGGAAATGGCTTCTGGGGACAAAAGCGAGGGAATCAAACGAAACAAGCCGCACGCCTGTTCCATGTTTCACCTCCACAAGGTGAACACCACCTTAAAAGCCCTTCATGTGTCAACCCCCGGATGGATCAACATTCAGCCTCAGATGCCCAGTGGCCAGGGGAAGAAAAAGGCCATCCCCTTTCCTGGGCAAGGGAACCCTTCCCCCAGAAAAGCCAAAAAACCGGCACCACCAGCCAGCGGGGGGCAGCGCATTTTCCCACGTCCAGCCGTCCAGTCAACCGGCCTTGGAACAGCAGCAGCGCCTCGGCCCAGCGGTGGCTGTTCTCGCAGGCCCCGATGGCTGCGTTGTAGCCTGCGCGATCCAAGTGAAAGCTGTCAAGCGTGGGAGGCTTTCAGACGCAAGTCAAACCCCCCCTTTGTGGCTAAGAAGAAGAGGTCCAAACCAACCCTTTCCATATCGGTGAAACGCAAGGTCCACCAGCAGATTTCAGACAGACTTGGGACTGGTCTTTCTTTCCCAGTAGATCCATTGACCTGTATTGTCGGTAAGTACGCGAACCACCCTTTCGCCCAACAGGAAAACAGCTAGATATGATCAAAGGGAACCAGAACCACCGCCCTTTAAGAACAGCTAAGCATGCAGAACTGGGCTCTGGAGTTGAGCCGCGGTCATGCGGATTAGTGAGTCCCTTGGTGTCTGTGGTTGATGTTGATTAAGTTCCTCGCGCCTCCATGGGCATTAGACTTCTTTTTGACCGAACCTCACATGGTGTAGCGGCAAAGGGTTCCCGTAAGGTACCCCGGTCCTCCCACCGACTCTTTGTGGAACAGCCGTTGCTGCATGAGTGTTCCAAGCCATCACACACAAATTTGACAAGACACAACGACTAAACACCTGCATGGTGGGTCTGAGCAAGCCCACGAGTCGAATCGGAAGCCAGGACCAGGCAAAGCGCTGGCCCTAAGGGCAGTTGACACCCTCTCAAATGGTTTCGATATCAACTCAAGTGCCGGTTCATACCCGTTTGTTGCCAATTTATAAGTGGCAGTCTGCACCATTTTGGGTGCGCAAGCGCCGGGGGTTTTTGCCTTAGCTGGCGCTGTTCTCCCCCCTCAAGGTCACAGCCAAGGTTTTTCAACACCGCGACCCCCACCCCTTTAGCTGGTTTCAAGGGAATCCGAATGGAATACCAACAACTTGTATGCGTCCAAATCTGGCTGTGGGTCAAAAATGAGTACCCAAAATGGAACCGTGGCAAATGGGACCCATGACAAAAACATGTGTTTTTTTTGGTGGTTTAATTTTGGAGACTTCCGAACTCTGAGTCCTGCGCTAATGATGTTGGGCGTTGGGCTGTGCCTTGGCCAGGCGACGACCGAAAAGGTGGCCCCCAAAAGGCTGGGGTCTCCGCATCAGACCCCAAAAGGGTTCGCGTCCGTTTTGGCTTTGATTTTGCAAACCAAACGGATCCGAAAGGGGGCTCACCCAAAGAAGCACATACCCGTGTTGCCCTTTTGTTGCTATTGTTCCAATACTATATGCAGAATAAAATCTTGAGGCTACCCATTCCAGGCTTGGACACGTGGTTGAGTCCTTGCCTTCTTGCAGCAACGGAAGCGGAGACAAAGGCGCATTCAAGAAGGTAGTCTTCTGAGCGTCAATCCGCCCCTCATTTGCGAGGACAGGCAAATAAAAGGTTAGCCTTTTGTGACCGTGATGAAAACTGGACCAAAACTGAAAGGTCAAGCAACCTCCTCTCATCGAGGCAGTCGTTCCGCTCAAGCCGTGGGCCCCTGAAAGGACTAGGAGCAACCAAATGAGTGTCGCTCACCCTCTTTCAACACGCAGGAGGGGCCTTGGACGATTACCTCCACAGGGTGTCAAATAGGTGAAATAGACGGTCAAAATATAGAATTATATTCGAATTTGGTTTGTTGCGGGGAACATTGAACCATCCTGTCAGCGACTTGACGGCTTTGCCATGGCCGTCATCAGGGATTTTACTGTCAACACATGCCCCACTACGAGCATCATATGTGTGCCGCAGTCCTCAACTCAGCAACAGTTCAACAGGTGTGGCCATGGGTCAATCCCGCCCCCAGTGAACATCCCAATCCCCACTAAAATTGACTCAAATGGGTGGTGTACCTACCCCAAAATGGTACCATTGGTTTTGACCCACAGCCATGTGTGTCAAGCATAACTGTCTTTCTGGACGGCACTTGGGCTGGCATGGGAAAAAAAAGCAGCCGTAGGATGCTGGACCTGACCATCCCAACCAGCAACAAGTGAAAGCCCGACCCTCCAGAGGATGCTTATGAGAAAAAAGGAGTGCCTGTTTTGAAACAGGTGATTGTCAATTCCCCTTCCGGAAAAAAAGAAAAGAAAATGACAAAACGCGAGGCACCACTGGAGGTCTTGAACAATTGGTTCAGTCAACATACCATTCAACAAGCATGCGGCTTTTCTAGCGCTGACACACCAACCAGCCCCCAGACCCCCAGTGGGTACGGAAAAAGGGCACCCTTGCAGATACTACAAAGCAACAACATGTGCCCAATACGGATTAACCATCTTGGTGTCAGCCAATGCTTGCAACAATTGTCCTATCTTAAGGAGGCTCGGGGGTGGGGGTATGCCATGCAACTCCATTTATCTGGCATTCCCCATAGAAGGGAAAATGGAACCATACATGAAGATCTCCAGGTGTCACGCCCCTCCCCCAATTCTATGGTGGGGATGATGCAGCCAAAGCTGCTGATCAAACAGCAGAGCCATTGCGAGCTGCCAGTGGCCAACCTTTTCGCAAGCGCTGATGCCAGCGTTCAGACTGATCACATCTGGGCTAAGCGTCACCTGCACAGGCTTTGGGCGGAAAAGACCGGAACAAAACTCACAGAAACCGTCGCAACCAGGAACTTCTATGAAGCTTGGCGAATGCTTCCGAAAGTCGGTGTTGTCTAACTTTGTGTAGCATTTCCTGCAGCTGGTCTTTTCAATCAACTCTGTGCGGTTGATTCCCTAAATATTGCCGGTATGGAAAGCTTCCAGTCTGCCAGAACCGGCTAGCTGCTCATGACCCGCAGCTTTGCAAAGGGCGATTGCGCCGACCAGCACTGGTTGTCATGTAACCAGTCCTAATGGCCCAGGGTCCTAGTTTCGACATGTTTAACCTGCGCATGGGTTTCAACCAATGGTTCCTAGGTGGAGCTTGGAAGGCCCGTAAGCCCATTTGCTTCAAGGGGAGCGCTTGCAGTCTTGGAAACCGAACATGGGCCTCTAAAAGAGTTGTGGCAAAAAAACTGTGCAAACAAGGCAGGGGAGGGTTAGATCTGAGTGGTGCAAATGGGGATGATTTCTGGATCCAAGTCGCGGGTTGACACTTCCATGCTAGAAAGGTTCCTGCAAGCTGTATCGCGGCTTGACTGCTTGGGCCGTGTTTTGCCAAGCTCCCAAACGTCTAACGAGAATGGTTTGGCGCTGGCCTCAGGAGCGAGGCGATTAATCCCCGCTTAAAACAACGAGTGCGCCATGATCGAACTGCGGAGACTGCGGCCTTGTTAGGGCAATCTCAACTCTAGTAGTTGCGGATAATTTGCATCCCTCCCAGTGGAAAATGCTCCCCTTTCATGCCTTACGGAGGAGCCTGCTTAGCCTTCGGCAAACGGCCACTGCCCGAGCCATGATTCAGCCTGGGTGGCCCGCTCATTTTTTCCCGTTGCCGCACGCAGCCGTTGCTCGCAGCAAGGTGAGAATGGACAGACAAGTTCATCCGCCACATACGCCGTCAAAGCTCTGTTCTTTCTGGGGGATGGTCATGCTGCCGCGTTTAAAATGAACCGCGACAGCATTGATTCATTCATCCAGGTGCCAACTCAAGGAGTCCACACAATGTCCATGCAAGGTCCACGCAAAGGCTTCACAAAGATCTTTGGAAAACTGGTTCATCACCATCCCGTTCCAGCCCTACATTATAATACATCACCAGGTTCCAAAGCCCAGGCATTGTGGGCTTCTTCCTTTTCATAGGCAACGCGGCCTTCAGTGGCGTGGGTGGTCCATGTCCATCAAGGTCCATTGGGATCACATCATTGCGACGTGCTCTGCTGCAATAGAAAGTGTGGCAAAGCACACGTTGTCGGAGGGCTGTAGCTTGAAATCGGAGGGCTGTAGTTTAAATCGCATGTCGGACAATTCAATGCCAACTTGTGGGTTGGCAAAGAAACCAGCATCGCAATACGCAAAAAAGAACCGCCCAAAGGCTGAAACGCACGTACGGGCAGGTTCTCAAATCATATGTTTGATACAATATCAAAGGCATGTATTTGAAGACAAAACTAGGACGTCCCAGTATGACTCGTCCATCAGCCACGCGTTGGCCAAGATTCAACAGGTCTCTCTCCACACCACCGAAAGGCGCTCGGAACGGCTGGCCCAGCCAGCTAAGCAGCTCAATAGTAGCTCAACAGCTCAGCCAGCCAGCGGCCGCCCAGCCACCTGCAAAGCCGAGGTCGGTCACATGAAACCTCCCAAATGGCTCGATCTTGTTCCAGCTTCCCCCTGGGTCTTCATTTCCCACCCCGCAGCTGCGAGCAACGCATGTTCTTGGAACCAGGAAGGCCCCGGTTCCCGCATTTGGAACCCCCATTCCAAGATATGAAAACCAGGCCCGGGCCTTTCGGCTGGGCGAATACTCCGCACCTGGCCCAGACGCAAGCCGCACGCCGACCGAGAAGCCCTTGACCAAGCTTGAGGAAGACGTCGGGGAAACAGGGCCGATGTTCAAAACAATGCCGAGACATTGGTGGCAAATCACCCGGTCATAACTGTAAGGTCATTAAAGTATTAAACTATCTCTGTTTGCAGCCCATGATGCCGCAGCCTTGTTGGGCAAAATGGAACCTACTTCGGAGGAAACCTGTCCCACATGTCAGCAGTTTGTGACAACCTTCCAGGTTGCACTTTTGAAAACACAGCGCTAGTCCCCACAATGTCGACCTCAAACGAAACGGCACTACCCACAACTCCGTGGCCCAACCAAACCCTTTGGGGAAATACCCCTGCGCAGTCTTTGAAAGCCGAAAAAACACGAGCCCTGTCCCACCTGCGCGTGGCTGGGGGATGCTCGTCAGGAGCGTCGGCAACTCCCGCGCCGCACTGGGCCGGGCGTTTGCTCGCAACACGTTGCCGACACGTTGATCCCACGGGCCACGGCTTGCTCTGAGTAAGGGCCAGGAATGCTCCAAGTGCCAACCCTAAGCAGAACTCAAGTGAAAAGGAAGAGCATCCACAACCCTCCATCCTCCCCTGCTTCTTCCCCCGCTTCAAGCCTGACAGCCCCACATTTTTCAGATGCACCAGGAATGTGAAACATGAAAATTCGATATGTGTGTGTGCTTTGGGGAACCTTGGGTGCTCCACGTTGGGAAACCCGTCAAAAGTCTCATTGGCCTTTCAAGGCTGCGTCGCGTGAAAGCCCGAAGCCATGTAGTTATAATGTGGTCTTCTGGAGCCCGGCTCGTGTCTCTACATGGGCACCATGACAGGCTTGCCGGCTTCCCAGCCCGACTCAGTCCCTTGCAACATCTTTCCAAATAACCCCCCCCCCCCCCGCCCCTTCATCCGCAAAGTCAACGCCCCAACCCTTCGCAACGGACGGGGCCCAGGGTCCGGGCCGTCGCTCAACAATCTGGCGGCCCATCTGGGCCTCGACTGCCGCGGCAGGAGTCCAACAGAAAAGGTACTGTGGATGGACAAAATCCTGCACCACTTTGAAACATTTTGAAACCATGGGAAACCATTGCTTGTTGGTATTTACAGGTGAATCATTCCAGGGGTTCTTAGGTGGTGTGAAATGGATTTCGTCCATCCACAGTACCTGTTGGCGTCGTTGGCGGCTGGGCTTGATTCCTGATCGATGCCTTTGCTCGAGGCCCCGGAGGAAACATATCTATTCAAACCCATGTCAGGAAATAAAAAAGCGGCCGCACATATTTCTGGGATTGTTGATTGTGACTCACCTGAGCATTTCATTACGTCTCCCACCCGAGAAAGGGACAGAACCATTTCAACGCGAAAAAAACAAGGGTCTCCGTCTCTGCGTTTGTGTGCAAGCGGAGAAAGGGGAAACGCGGTGCGCAGTTGACGGATCTGCAGGGTCTTGACTGATGTGGTTGGTCCACACTGACTAGTTTCACCGTCAAAGGCTCAGTTTCGCATTTGTGAAGGATGCTCAATCCGCTGATGCGAAGTTGCGAACTCCAAACCCAGCCATGCCAGTCATATTACTTCCCAAACGTTCAAGACTTGTGGACAGCCGTGGCCAGGAAAGTCTTCGTGTCTTTGTTCCAACTCTGCGTGAGCGCATGCCCTGCCTCGATGAGAAATCCTTCGACTATCAGGAACCGCGCGTTCCTGGCAGCAAAATTGCAGAGTTCATGGCTCAACGGAAATTCCGCAGAACCCGACCGAACGAATAGATGGATTTGTCTCTAGAGGGGAGCCACACACACAATGAGTGTGTCTCACTTGGAGGAACCTGGTGGGTGGCTCGGTGGACACCAGTGGCAAATCAACCACTTAGGGGTCCCATACGGATGGAAACCAATCCTGTACCAATATAGCGGCTCATCCATCCAAACTGGTGCAAAGTGAGTTTTTTCGCGCATTCAGAGTATTTTAGGAAACACGCTTGTCAACTCCTGGCCCTGGGGTTGGATTCTAAGTCTTCCCCAAAAATTGCACCCAACAAGAACCAGTGACACCGGCCTGTCAGTTGGCTCTAGCTCCTTCAACATCTTGGCCCTCGGCAGAGAGGGGCAGGCAACTGCTCGGCTCTCAGGATGAGTGCTTGTGGGGCTTGTGGGAGGGATCAAAAGGTCAGGGTCAAAATTCAAGTTTTCTTCAAAGCAACTGCTGCCGATGACCACTATCGTGCGAACAACTGTTTCCCTCAACAATGTGTGTTGCCTTGTGTTTCAGCGCCACACCCAAACATGCAAGATTGTTCTATTGAAAGATCAACTCAGTACACACCTCATCATACACCTCATCATGTATCTGCAACGGGCACACTATACTGAGTGGAACCCACCAAGCAGATTGTCCTTTCAGCAACGAGCTAAGCGACCGAGTCACATGTAGGCTTTGTACATGGGTAGCCGCACTGGCGTCAAATCGCCCTGCATCCTCGGGTCCGCAACGCATTTCACACCCATTCGCTCAGCTTCCTTAGGCGTCCGGCGGCGGCCATCAAAACACTTCTCTTGCGGACAAAGCGCTCATAAAACATCGCTTTGCACTTCTTGCGCAGGAGCTTCTGGTCCTCCTGCCGGAACCGTCAACGCGACTTGCGGGGAAGGGGATGAACCACGCCGGGTACCACGCCGGTTGCTTATAGTTCACCAGCATAAGCGGAATTCCTGAATGAAGAAATCACCCCTTCCTTCTGAGACCCAACCCCTCCCCACCAGGTGGTCCCTTGGAACACGGCAGCACGCGCTCTGCTCCGCTTTCTCGCGGCGCCTGGTGGACCTCTTGCACGTGCGCAGCAAAGGTCGTGAGCTCGATTCTGTAGACGTCGTCGATGGTGACGACCCCATCTCCGTCCATGTCACAGAGCTCGAAGAGCCTCAACGTGACCCTAGACCGTCGAACAGTGGCATGCTGAAAACAAGCGGACAAGAGTGCTCCACCCGACAAGAAGGATTCACTGCGCCCCGTTTTTGAAGACCCTTGCGACCGACATCGATCTAAGATGGTCGATTCATGTCAATTCCAAGCCAGTCAGCCAGCGAATCGCGAAGCCAGCCACAAATGGCTTCCTTTTCGGCTTGGCGCATGGCTACGCTCTGAGA